TTGAATCAAATGCGCACGTATTCGAAAGTATATAATTGCCGTCCTCTAGTTTAATTGACATGAGGTTTGATTTTGTGCCATTTTTTATTAATCCAATTGTTTTATTTTTAGAACGAGAACTCATATTACGAAGTAAAATTTCAGGATTCGGTGTTAAATATTTAGGTATTTTTTTTTAGGTTTTTTTTCTAAAATATTTCTCCAATTTTCTTCCTCAATATTTTCTTTAAATATGTTAGGTATTGCGTATAAATCACTGGTAGTTCCGCAATCATCATTTTTTGATTTTTTCAAATATGTGTCACCGTCATCAATATTATTCAATTTAAAAGAAGAAAGTTGACTCACTGATATGTCGGGCACAACTTGTTTTGGACTAGGTGCACCATACCTAATCCATTCTATTAACCAATGGTAAATCGAATTATTATCATGTCTCTTGGAAAGCATATGACAAACAGAATATTGTGACATGATACTTTTGTCATGGATTGCAATTTTGTACAATAAAATGCCTTTTGTTTTTCTATTTGATAATAAAAGTGGTTTTTGAACTAAACTTCCCGTTGCATCAATACAAATCGTAGGGTGTTCATTGAATTTTACAAAGTTTTTATACATGTTCATTTCTGTTGCACTCCAGTAGTGTACGAAAAATCTATCATAACCAATATCCTTTATTATATTAAGATATGGATGTTTATTTTTCATTTTGCAAATACTCAACACAGGATCATGGTCTTCTCTGTCTTGTTTCAAAGCTTTATATTTTAATACGCGTAATGCATTGGATGATGGTAAGTGACTTGGTTCACTGTTACCAAAGTCCATTATACCATCTGCTTCAGTTCTTCTCAACATTGTGGCGGACATTTTAGTGTTAATAAGCTTTTGACTATAACATAGTTTTTCCGCATTTGTCATTCTTCTTTTTTCACATGAATTGCAATTTACGAAATTGCTTTTAAAAACGCAGTTAAATATAGCTCGTTTATTAGGTTTCGGTCTATTTTCTAAAGTTCTTCTGTAAATCTTACATTTTCCAAAAAATACACAATAATTTGTACCAGATGGGTATATTTTTGCCCTTTTATAAATTATGCAACAGCGAATCTTAGTTTGCTCCCAAAAATGGCTTTGAATAAAACTTGTCCAAATTCCTGGCTTTAAAATTTCATAAGTCCTAGACATATAGCGAGTTTTTGAATCTTTTTTTTGATACTAGGACATTTTATCCGGTCCCATTCTTGAACACTAAGTGTAATTTTAAAGGCAATTTCATCTAAAGTTATTGAAGATGTTGATTCAGCTTCGAAAGACTTTTCTAGATCTGACGATACTTATTTAGCCTCAATATTTAAATAACTTAAAATGTTACTCCTTGAACATTTTACTGTGGTGTATATGACTTAGCAGATATTTTCTGTTTTTTTTCATTTTTTAGTACATAAAATAAGCTTTAATTTGATATATGTTTAAAGGACGCAGTATCTCCGGAACATTTTCAAAAATTAAGTTGAAAAAGTTAGTTTTTGTAAAAAAGTTGCTTCTTTAAATCCCCCCCAATGAGCAGGTTAAGTGTTAGATTTTCAAAAAAATGATATCAAATGAAAGGGAAATATCTAAGGTCTTAGTATAAAAAAAAATTATGTTGATTTGTTTATTTTTGAAAAAGTTATGGAAGTTTTAAGAAAAAAAAGTGAAAAAAATGACAAAATTTACCGATTTTTAAATTTGTAATTTTTTTTGGATATTTCCATTTTCGACGAACGAGGGAAAATTTTTTCAATTTTTAAGGGTAATGTCTTCAACTAGATATGATTTGTGATCTATCTTTTAACGTATTGTTGAAAGAAATCGGTCTAGTGAGAGCTGAGAAAAAGTGGCAACAGATATAAAAAAAAAAAAAAACACATCATGGTAAAATTAATACCTACTCAGCTTCGCATCGAAGCTAAAATTTCAGACTTATTTTATCTTTACCATAAAAATGGTTACCGAATACAGACATCAAATTTAATAAAAAAAATACGTTTTTTGTAAAAAAATTCTTTTTTATATTTTTAATTTTATAATGATATAACTTTTTCAAATTTTTCATGTGAGACATCTGATTTTGTGTCGAGTAGTATGGCATCAATCGATGGTCAGTTCATGGACTGAAAAATTATCTTTAATATTTAATGAAAACTTAATTTTTTTGTAGGTCTTTGTATTAATATTTATAAATTAGAAAAGTAAGGGATATTATTTTGAAAAGAAGTAGATACATTTTTTAAAGGTAATTACAATGTTTTATTGAATAAAATAAATATTTTCAAAATAGAAATATATTTATAAATAAAATTATATTAATTAAATATGAATAAATTTTATTTACAAACTATAGTAAAAAAAACGGTAGCACAGTGTGCAGTCTTATCTATTCTTATATTTATTTTAACTGACATTTATATAATTAAAAACCCATCACAGGGGAGTCACGGTACAGTGGTGACGTTTCATAGTTGGATCAAGTATAATGATATCTGACAGTGATTAAAATCACTATAAAAAAAAACGCTTCGATGTAATCTTTAGATAGTGTTTAATTTTAAAAAATTGGTGGATTATTCTAAAAGCTACATGATCTGCTATTTCCTTATTAATATCCTGATTAAGATAAAGTATGTCGAATGAAAAAGAGATAATTAAAAATATTATTTCTCATAAAAAAATTATGTTGATCCATACCCTTTTCAATAAGTTATAGCATTATAAAGTTAAAAATGTAAAAAATAAAATCGAGAATTTTCACACAAAAATAGCATTTGGTAGCCATTTTCACCGTGAAGACAAAATAAAGTCCGAAATTTTTTTACATAATAAAGTATTAGCTTTAATTTAAAATATATATAAAAGTGTCAGACTTTCTGAAACACTTTCAAAAGTTAAGTTGAAAAAGTTGTCATTTTAAATCCGCCTTGTGGGCAGGTAAAGGATCAGATTTATAAAAAAATATACCAAATGATAGGTGAAGACATCAAACATCTATATAAAAAAATTTTTTATTGATTTGTTCATTTTTAAAAAATTACGGCATTTTTAAGTAAAAAAAATTAAAAAAATTTCGAAAATTAGCGATTTTTAAATTTGTAATTTTTTTGGAGGTTTCCCTCATTTTTGGGGAACGGGTGAAATTTTTTCAATTTTTGAGGGTAATGTTTTTGACTAGATACGTTTTGTGATTATTTGACGTATCGTTGAAAAAAATCCGTTCGGTAAGAGCTGAGAAAAAGTGGTAACAGACACAAAAAAAAAACACATCATATTAAAACCAATATCTTCTCAGCTTCGCATCGAAGCTAAAAAACTATTTTCTATATCTGTTATAGAGTAAATTGCTTAAGCAACCTACCTTTTTTTTCAAATAACTGAATTACAAAAAAAATATTCAAAAGTCAATTGCGAAAAAACGACAAATTATAAAATAATATTATAATACAATTAACTCTCAGAATAGTTTCATATTAAGTGCAGAGCCGTACTGAGGATTTTTGGAATCTACGGCAAATTCATTCGGGGACCTTTCTATTATCATATTATACTTTTATAATATTAGAGTATTTAATTTTCAAGACCTCAGCCATTTAAGGTCATTATGCATGTACATTATAGGTTCAGACGTCCGGTGTCCCGTTAACTTGCGATAACGAATTTCTACCTAAATACTAAATTTAAATATAACTTTATCATTCTTCCACCTTTGGCAACATTAATAATAAATATTAAAATTATTATTATTTAGAACAAATGAAATCTTAGCATACTCGACATTAACTTAATATAAATATACAGAGTCGCATTTAGAGAAGACACTGTGTGCACGTGATCTGGGTGGGAAAGATGTCACTGAGAAAACGTAGCCAACTATTTTAGAATTTAAGATCTTTATGCGATATAGAGGAAAAATTGTTGATAAGAATAAAAAAAAATCAGTTATTGAAGCAGCGGAATGAGGTACACAGGTGTGTACCAAATGCAATATTAGAGTCTATGGGTAACTGTTGTCATGGTGCCTTATGTTTAGCGATACGTTGGATACACGACCACCCGTCTTCTTCATCATCCGCCTGTTGTTTTGTTGTTGTTTCAGTTTGATGAAACTAAATATAAATAGGTACCTCATATATATATATATGAGCTAAAGGGATTAGTGTCAAAAAAAAAAAATTAACTGATAATGAAAAATTAACTAAAAACAATTTTCAATTGATTTCAGTAACTTATAATAAATAATACTTAGTTTTTAAATATTCATGCGATATTTAATACAATGAAAGAGCGGTTTATTAATTATTTGTCCTGACCTTATTTCACATTTTTTACAAAATGTGAATTTTAATAAGATGATTGCATAATAAAAAATACTATAAAAAAAATGTATAATAAGTACATGTAAGTAAAAACATATTTGCAGGATACAGAAAAAGAAAAAAGAAATGTATGCTATAATGAAGAAAAAAATGTTCTCTGTTACTGTCATAAACAATTAAATAAATAAAATACAAACTTCTTTGTTATATTATACAAGAAATGTTTTTCAGAGTGTAATATATATATATATAATAAAAAAAGTTAAAATTGTTTACCTATATCAATACCTTGAAATTTGTTGTAAAAAATTAAAAACACTAAATGCAAGTAAAAATAATTATAAAAAAAGCCAAAATTTTCATTTTATTCATTTACATACAATTACAGCAAATATTGAAGTTTGTCATTGAAAGATGTTCAAAATAAATAAATATTAATCCAAAAGCATGATTAGTTAAATTAATTATAATTATATTTCCATATAAATAAAATTTAAAACCATAAATACAAACACTTTAAGTTTGAAATTAATTTTGTTAATCAAATCAGTACACATGTCTTAATTAAAAAAGTTATGTCATAACAGTTTAACTAATACTGACATGTTAAGTCATAATACTAAATATGAGTTTTATAAATACTTATTTTTACGCTAATAAATACTTGTTATTATTTAAAGTTTACTATGAATTAAATTAAAATTAAGAATGGATAATCAAATAACAATATATATATATATATATGCAATGAGAAAAAGATTCAATAAAATATAACAAATTAGGTAATCAAAAATTTATGCATTGAAATAAGGAATGGAGAAAAAGTATCAAGTAAATTTTTTTTGGGGTTTATTTTATACTAAAAATAATAATAAATTAATATTGATAGTCATTATAAAAAGAATTAGGGCTATAACATTCATTTTGATTTATAATATAATTGAATGTTTCAGCATTGTTCGTTGAACAATCACATTCAGATAAATATGATGGTTTAGACTTCCCACAAATTTTACACAATGGAAGATGGGACTTGATTTTTTCAGCTGCTTTATATACTTCACTCATAATTTCAGAAATATTAATATATGATTCAATAGAATCATAAATGGTATTTTCTTCACGAATTTCATACATAAAACGATTTTGCTTAATTAATAAAGTAAGATCATCAACCCAAGCTTTATTTGAATTTTTAATATAATCCGATTGATTATGGTAATTTGTACTTGGTCTTGTGTTAGCACATGGACAATTGTTTCTCATTCCACTTATATTATTGCATGCACAAATATTACATTCCAACTTAGATGTATTTTCTATAGGAAAATTATTATTATGCAAATTATAATGATTAGAATCTATACTAATGTTTGAATTGTAGGTTTTATTATTCATTTTTGAGACAAAATTATAGGCTATAGAATCATTTTTTGGTAAGTTATCAACAAAAATACAGTAATTACAAGGACATGACAATGGTTTAGACCCGGGGATATTTAATCCCCTAATATCTAAATCACATTGAGATTTTAAGTAGTTTAGTAATTTTGAATTGTGACTTGGTTTTGAATTTGAATTTTCTTCTAATAATAAATTTAATAATACATTAGTATTTTTCTTTGGTAATTTTACAACATGATTGTTTTTATCTGCTTTTTTTGAGGAACAAATAATTTGATGGTTAACCTGCCATAAAAATTTTTTACATTTATTAGAATCACAAAATGTATAATTTAATTTTTTTTAATAACTTGAAATTAAAAACTTGTTTAATATAAATAATATAAAAAGCTAGACTCTGATTTTTAAGTATTATCAATTATATTTCAGAAAAAAATATTCAAAATATTTTACATTACATGAGAAATATTACTTTTTAGATTTTATAGCAATTATTATATGTTTTAGTAATTTTATTTTATAATAACTTTAAAACTTTTCAATTAATACTTTTAGAACACTTGCTTAATTTTAAATTTAAATCAATGAACTAAAATTTTTGTTAAGACCACAAATGATTCTTGAAATCTATTCTAATTTAGGTGGTCCTTTAGATTGGAATAAGTAATATTTAAACTATATGATTTTCAAATTTTTAATGATCAATTCAAATTTTTTTTTAATTACCCTTTTATGATATTATAATTGTGAATTAAATTAATAGGTTATTCATTTATTTAAAACATTACTTGAAATTTAAAATCTACTGACCATTAACCCATTCATCACATATGAACAAACAGCTATTGTATTATAAGATATTACCAGTGAGCTCTAGTCAATCCCACAGGTACATTCATATCTTTTAAGTGTTCTAAAATATTTTTGTCTACATTTCAAAAGAATAAAAAATGACCAAGAGAGTCATTTAGACTCTTTACGTGTTAGTAACATGCATCCATCACAAATTGATTTTAAAATCTTTGTATAGAACAAAATTAAATTCTATAAATTACTTTTTCTATCATTATAGCATAATTTGAAAAACAACAAAATTTATAATTATATTTAATGTTTTTATTGAATAATTAGTTTTATTTTTTTAATACTTACCAATTCTTGTTGTTTTTCGCAATTAAGTTTTGATGGTTTTGTAATGTTTTGACAATTTACGTTATCTTTTAATTTCTCGCATTCTTGAATTTTTTCAGATTGCAATAAAATATCACTAGTCTTATTAATGAATACATCAAATTCTTTAAGATTTAAAATAGAATTTTCTACAGTATATTTAAAACTAGTCATTTTATCTGCATTGACAGCTTTCAAAATATCCATGTCAGACAAAAATTTTTTGCTTTTTGAATATTTTTGCTTCTTTGTAGAATCACTTTTATTTGATAAAATTGTTGGATTTTCAGTATTATTTGAAAACTGGTGATTGTCAACATTTTTTTTCTAAAATATAAATTGAAATAAGTTTTTTTACATAGGTTTTAAATGTATAATCTAGTATTTAATTAAAAATGTAAAAATCTTTAAAAATCTAAAAGCAGCAAAAAATTAGATTGAAAATTTAATTTAAAAATATTTTGATTCAAATATAACAATCATAAAAATATTTGAAGAGGCTGGGCCAATTAAATACCAAGAATATTTCTTTCAGGAGGTAAAAAAAAAACAAAATTTTTTATAAAGAGTAATTGAGAACATTCTTAAGGTGCTCACTATAGTTTAAATAATAATTAATAATTTAAAATACTTATTGAAGTTAAATTTCTTTTCATTGTTTTAACATATATATTTAGATTATTTTGATATAGTAATTTTTTCTTTTTATAATTTTTGGCACTTAGCCCTACCATACTTCAAATATACACTGGATGCTTCATATTACCATGTAATATGTTAATATTTTTTAATTTTGCTAATTTTAAGAAAGTAACAAGTAATTTAGATAAGACCTTACTTAAAAATAATAATTTATGTAAATATTGAGGTACTAAAGTGTAAACATTAAATCAACTGTATTTTGTTTTAAAAAAATATAATTTTATAAAAATTAATATATAGACTAAAATAATAAATTTAAAACTGATTGATTAAATTAATTAAAAAAGATAATTAGTAGATAGATAATTATATTAATTAAATTAGGTTATAATTTAATAATAATTATTATTAAAAATATAATTTTATAAATCCAAAATTTATAAAAAATGTGTGTTTGCAAAAGATCCTAAATAATAACACAAAAATAATGTATAAAAATTATTTCTGATAAATATACTCTTACACAAGGCAATTTTTGTTGATTAACCTATTCCATGACTTGCAAAAAATGTATTTTGTCTGTTCAATAACATAATAGGAATGAACTCACTGGATATTTGTATGCTACTATTTTTAATAATAAAATTATTGATAATTGAACACCTCAAAATTGAAAGAAAGAAATACACTTATTATTAGATTTTTTATCTTAAGTTCAGGGACAATAGACAAAGGAAATAAAAAACAGTTAAATATTTTAAGGGAAATATTTTTTAAGACAATTTTTTAAAACACAGTTAATAGCACTGGAAAAAATATTTTAGTTAGCCCTATTATTAGAATATAAAAAAGTTGATGTGAAATAAATATTTACATAACTATCTTACTTGTTCATTTTGGGGAATTTCAGTAGATGTTTTATGGCTATTATTTCTTATAATAATAAGTAATTCATAAACAATCAAAGAAATTAAAGACCATTTGTAACTTATTTCTTCATAATCATTCATTCCTTCAAAAAATTCATTTAAAGTTTGTCCTTCTAAATGATGTGGTTTAATTTTTTTAAAGGATACATCATCATCATGTATTATATTTAAAACGTCTGATGATCGTTTTTTTGAAGTATGTTTGTCCATAATTTACTAATTTTACTTGATTAGAAAAAAATTAACGAAATTAATAGCAATTGATTGCTGTACTGAAAATGTGAAAATCTTGATTTTCTCAAGATCATCATAAAACTAAAATTAATTATTTGTCATTAAAAATAAAATAACAGTTAAATACTTCATAAATCAAAATACGTATACCCGGTGTTAATAACTTAGTCTATACAATACTTAATTAACTCAAGTATGAAGAGTTAACCGACTTACTAATTGATAACAGGTAAAAAATTTGTTTACAATATTAATAAAAGAAAACTCTTTGTATTGAGATAAAAATTGGCTCCTAATTTTATCACATTAAGACCAATATTTAAATGGTGTAATCCCAAATATTAAGTTATTTTTATTTTAGGTCAATTAAGAGATAAATTAATATCCTTTAGAGTATTACTACTAATTTAAAATTACAAGGGACAGCAAAATTTGTTTATTCAAATAATTTTTATTGAAGTACAGGAATTTTAAAGGAAATGAGAGTGATAGAGGTATTTTAATGAATTTTTCAATTTAAATACGTATTTTGTGTATTTTACACTTTTTTTGTTTAATATGGCTTCATGCTTGTAAATCAAAATCTATTTACTGTGCAATTATATTTGTATATTATTTATAAGATCTTTATATATATTTGCCTGACAGCAAGTCCTTTTTATAAAAAATATTGTTACCATGAGTGATGAGCAAAAAAAACCGGAAAACTAAATGTCTTGAATTATGACAAACTAGTAAAATTTATGATAGCCCTTGGGTCGTTCGTACCCCCTAATCCGAGCCTCTGTAAATTTGTGCATTTCAAATACTTATTATTTTTTAAGACCTCCAATAAATTATAATAAACTACAACTGTTATGTGACGTCATCTTATAAAATAGGAAAAGTAACTATACTACATTTATTCCTAATGTTATCTTGCTAAAAAGCTCTCACTTTGTACAGACGCCCATATTACAGTACTTAGAGGAAAACCATTTTTCTCTATTGGACCTTAATTAAAGAAAGATAATAATGTAGATAGTTAAACTTTTTCAGATTAGAGTAGTAAAATATGTAGCTTGTAAAATACATTAAGGTCATCGTCAAAAAATTAATTATTAAAATTTATTACAACCTCTAATTTATTATATAATAACGTAAATGAGCTGTAAAAATGTTATATTATACATAATTAAACAGTACAATCTAATAAATATCTCAACCTTGAATAAATTAGATTTTACAAAAAATGAATTTATTTCAACATTTATCTTCTCAGTTATAGTTATTTATAATTTAAATATTATTCATGCTGATTAGGAAATAATTATTAGGGTGTTCGAGAAAGGGCACTAACTTTCAAGATGATCTATACTCAAACATAGGGGTTTGATGAACAAAATTTTTCTTTTAAATTATATAAATTTTTATTTATTCAGTAAAATACTCCACTCATTGCACAATGAAGAATAATGACTAACAGAAAACTTAATTAAAAAAAAAAAAACAATTTTAATAAAAAATAATACTCTGGAAATATTTTTCTTAAGACATATTTAAGAAAATGCACCAATGTTGAATTGTGCATTACTATTATTAATAATCAATATAGTTGTATACAAAAATGATGATTTTTACAAGTTTCTTCATAAAAATAAATCTCAGAAATAGATATATTAAGCTTAAAACAATGTTATAAATTATGATACATCTGTACATTTTTACAAGTAGCTATATTATAAAGTATAATAATTTAATACACCATAAATAAAAACAAAATATACAAAAAATAATAATAAACAAAAATAAGAAAAAAATATTTGCAGCAGTCAAATTATAATAATTTTTAATGAAACTCTCTCCCTCTCTCTCTTTATTTATATATATGTATTATCTGAACCTCTATGATGGGATATATAAATCCCAAAATATAATATGCAATATGTAAATTATATAATTTTATGTATATATAAATATCATACATTTTACATTTATATTTAAGTTAATTATTACAATATTATTTATAATGGCACAGAGTTAACAAATATACTTGTTTTTGAAAAAACAACAGTAAATTTTTCTTAATTATATTTTCACCATGTTCTTAACTTACTAATATACACTCAATAATTTCTTATCATTAAATTCCATATTTTAATTTAAGGGGTGTACTTTTAGGAACTAATTTCTAACTGAATAATACTAGTTATGAAAATTTAGAAATCGTTAACTTTAGAGTGTATATTAGAAAGGCAGAAATATAGATAAAATTTAACAGTCTCAAGTCTGAACACGACTATAAATAAAAACAAAATTTGAACTTAAAATTATTGATAAATTAACAAAATTGATCCTTTAAAATTAGTCAGAAGAAAAAAATTTAGGAACATAATCTTAATTTTAATATAATTACTTTTATTAATAATTATTGAATGTTTAAATTTAAAGATAATGAAAATTGTTTTTCTAACAAACATATTTTACAAATTATTCCTGTGTATTTAGATGATAAGATGTGGTAATGGTGAAACATTTAAATTAATACTAGTATATAAAATGTATGTATACATTTAATTAAAGATTATAAATAGATCTTTAAAATTGTAATTTATATAAAAGAAAATTAAATTGTTAAATTGAGTAAATCATTGACTAACAAACTTTAATTGCTACTTTGTTAAAAAGATACATCACCTACATCACAGTTTATAAGAATTTTTATTGAACTACATTATTTGAAAGAAAAGACACATGGCTGAAATAAAAACCAATAGGCATACATAAATTTAAAGAATAAAAGGCAGTGTAGTAAAAGTGGAAAATAATTACACACTAATATACAAAGTCCATAATAAAATCAAATTGTGGATGTTGAGCATAAAAAAATGTTGAGATCTGATGACGCCATAACAATACAATGACATAAAATTATGTACAACAACAATTACAATAGGTAATTAAAAGTTAAACACTATACAAAAATATCAACAGATGTTTAAACAATAATTTCTCTGATAATACGTCTTGTCCGTGAGTTAGGCGTCGAATATCCAGATTCAAGGCTTTCATCATAAGGCATAGATAAATGATGTTGGGGGGGTTTCATGTGTTCTTCATTGTCTATCAGTTGTTCTAAATAAGGATCTGGAAGACCACTAACATCGCCATATGGTGATTCTATAATTTAATTTACCAAAATTAGCTATATTATTGGTTTTTTTAAATATTATTAGTATATTATAATATTTACCAAGATGTGGATCTCTTCTACGGGTCTTATCTACAGGTTGTAGATGTCCACTGTGTATATAATCTTGTCTTGATGGAATATGACTATGAGTACTGTAATCTGGGCTTGCAGATGTGAGTTGTGGGTAATGAGCATAGTCATCCATATTTCCATAACCTCCATGAGTTAATGGATCATAGCCACCTAAATTAATTAGTTATTTATTATTGAATGAAATAAAAATTTTGATTTAATTTATTTTTACCATAGTGATTCATACGGTCAGGTATTTGTAAATGATCATCTCTAGATATATGAGTTCCTCCTGTACTACCATTTCCACCCATTTTAAGTTGCCATAAAGAATCTTGTGAGTTAACTGAACCTCCATTATTTGAATTTGAGTAACTATTTTCTACATATCCAACATTAACCCCTAAGAATAAAAATTAATATTACAAATGTTAAGAAATAAAGAAAAAAAAATTTTAACTGATTTTATAATAAAATATACACAAAACAAGATTTTAGATAAAAGTTTGTTGAATGATTTAAATAAAAATAGAAAACAGATTTTTAACAAAACATTAAATTTTTTCTCATAGTGATCAATAAAAATAAATAATTAATATTAAGAAATTTTAACATAGCTGAAATTTATATTATTTAATCAAATCTTACATTCACCATTTTGACGTAATCCATTGCTAGTATGATATGTGTTATAATCATTTTGAGATCCATAAACAGCATTTTTTGTAACATCATGAACTAAATCTACAGATTGTTGTAAAGCCTTATTTTCAAGGCCTGGTTCAGTATAAGGTGGGGGTCCATGTATAATACTAGGATGAACACTGTAAAAAATCAAAACATAAAATTAATATATCAGAAAATAAAATATATATCTGTAATATTTCAATACATTTCTCAAACTTTTTGCAAAAATAAAAAAGGCAAAACTTTTAAAACCTAAATTGCTTTAAATAATATTTTAAAATGTAAAGATTTGTTCTCTAACACAGCGAAATTATTTCAAAGTATTTAATAAATTAAGTTTCAAGAATAAAAATATGAAATAAGACACACCTAAATTATTACACTCTAATTACAAAAATAATAATACTTACCAATTTACAATAACGCCAAGGTAGCGTGTGAAAATAGAAAGGATTATGTAAAACACAAAAATACAAAATGACTAACACATTTTATAATAGAACCCAGAAAAATACTATAAATAAAATATAATTACCCAACAAAAAATTTCCCAATAAATAGTAATTTCTTAAATTATTAAAAACAAATGATTTATATAAAAATTCGCATTTTAAAAAGATAAAAAAATCAACTATTCATAATTTGTTAACTTATCAAATTGTAAAAAGCATTAAATAATTAATTTTTTTAAACATCTAATTGATAAAAGTTAAAAAATACACAAGTACAAACAAATCAAATAATTTAAAAAAAATTACAAATTATTTCTAACATAATTTTTCTGTTTTTTTATTTAAAATTACAAAGGTTATGTTATTATTTTTAAAATAATAGAACTATAAAACTTACGTTGAGGAATCCATTTCATAATCTTTGCTGGTACTTTTCTTTGCAGTATTATTACGTTTGCAACGACAAAATACAAATAAAAGTGTTATGAATAGAATGAAAACAACACATGATACAATCAATGCAATCAACGTTGATGTAGCAATAGCTTGTTGTTCTTTAACAAAGTTTGCACCAACTAAAATTTTGAAAAATTTGTAAATAAAAGCAACTGTAATATAAAATTTTTGATGTACAACATTTGGTTTATTCACTTACTTTCTGCTTCTGTATAATCGCCACAAGTGTTTTGACTGGACCGTAAACACAATCTTACTCTAATGCGAACATCATCAATTGGTTTATCAATGGGGTCGTCTTCATCTTCACTAGTGGTTATTAAGTTTATGTCATCATTATCTAATGATCGAGCTCCAGTACTTTGGCGACGAGATATTAATGATATGATAGTTGCCTCACGGTGTGTAGAAGTACTACCACTAACTGCTAAAGGCAAAGTTTCGATTAAATGCCAATCTTCTCGAGAACTAGAACTACCAATTATAGCTTCAACAACCCCAACCTAAAATCAAATAAAATAGACATTTGAATTTTAAAACTAGGTACAAATCTCTAAAAGTGGCTTTTTTATTTTTATATATCAAGTAGTATTAAAACAAAATTTCTCAAATATTTGATATTTAGTTAAATATTTGATCATCAATTTAAATTAAAGTTTCAATTTATATTAGATAACTTAAATGAGTTCTTCCAAAAAAAAAAAAAAAAAAGTTAAATATTTTTTACATATTATCTATTATTAAGTGAAATATAGACTATTACCCAACAGTTATTTTAATAAAAAAAACAATTAAAAATCATAATATCATCATTAGAAGTATGTTTTTAAGGTTTTATTTAATTCATAAATAATTAAAAAAAAAAAATACCAATTGTAAGCATGTAGCTCCAATGTTTATAGTTAAAGCATGCGATTCAGGATCAAAAGTTACACGTTGAGGTGCTGGAATACGATCAACTTTTGTCATAACAATTGTTTCTTGTGAATATTCACTATGTCCTTTATTATTGTAAGCTTTAACCTGAAAAATGTAAAAGAAGGCCATAAGTAAAATTATTAATTTTTTATAAAATAAGATTTCAAGTTATCCCAAAAAATTTATATGAAATGCTAATATATTTAGAATTATTTACCTTGAACAAATAATTTTGATGTTGATCCAAGTCTGTGATGTTACAAGGGTTTTTAGTTTGACAGTCAAATTCCTGCCATCTCTCAGGTTGATTTGATTTTTTAGCGGTATAGCAATCATTTTCAACCTCGTTATCATCCATGACAACTTTTTTGTAACTCACATAGTGTTTAGTACTAACTACTCCTCCATTAAATCCACTATTCCATTGTAAAACTACACTATGATGACCAACTTCTAGAGCAGTTACATTTTCTGGATGATCTGGAGGACCTTTAGGTTGAAGTCTAATTGTTGGTCGTACACTTCCTAGTGTGTTAGCAACACGACAGTGATAGTCACCATAGTCAGTTTCTCTAAGATTAGATATTTGCAGTACACTGGTATAAATATCTCCACCACTTTCGTTTATTGTAGTATTTATCTCATAGTGACCATCACTACCAGCCAATAATGGCGATGAGTGAGTATTGTAACTCCATTGAAATTCAGGTCTGGGATATGCTTGAACTCTGCACACTACTTCAGCTGTTTCATATAAATCACTGGCTACTTTGCTGAACTGATGTAATACGATTGGTTCATCTGTAAAAAATAGAGATTAACAACATAATATTAATATTTAATATTAAGTATAAAATAAATAATGCTTTAATCAAAAGTTTAAATAACTCACGTTCGATTCTCAAGAGCATACTAGACTCAACTTTCTTGACATCATTTTCAAAGGAACAAGAGTACACACCGCGGTCTGATGGAACTAGTTGGTTACCACGGGGTCTATCCCTACCATGGAATTTAAGCGTACTATGAACAGTTGTCACTCCATTTTGATTTTCAGTTTCATCCGTGCTTACATCAAACCATTCGTGTGAAACTTCTTTGCCATCTTTATACCACGTTACCGAAGGTTTTGGTTTACCCTGAACAGCGCAGATAGCTGAGAATCCTATATCAGAAGCGCGTCTAGTAACATGAGGTTGTAATTTAGTAACAAATTTTGGCGCGTGATGGACCGTTAATTGGACTGAAGCTGCCTCTCCTGTTCCCATTTCATTAGACGCCTGGCATTTGTAACGGCCTTCACTTCCAAGATGAACAGATTGAATTGTATACTTTTGTCCGTTGGCTAAAATCGTAGTACTAGTTGATGGATTGGCGGAGTCAAACTCTCTCCACCACTTATATTGAGGCGTTGGCCAACCAGGAGGTGACGCTGAGCATGTTAGTGTTACTCCTGTACCTTCAGTCGCAACAGGTCTATCTGGTGTAATTCTGGACATGCCTGGTTTATGACGAACCAGCAAGGTTACAGATGCGTTTCCAATGCGGTTGACTCTTTGGCGTGTTAAAGATGAAGGATAAAGAATATTGACTGCTCTACAAGTATAAACACCTCCAGCATCAGCGGTTATTTTAGGTAAGCGAAGAACTTCTCCAGATTGACGAAAATCAGGACGTCCTTCTCGAATCCATTCCACAGAAACTGGGGGAGGATTAGCAGAAACATTACACTGAATTGTTATACTTTCACCCTCTTCAGCTTCGCGTTGCCTTGCCATGCCGGGTCCGGTTTCTACAGTCACTTGAGGAGGGTATTGTACGTCAAGCACAAGTTCAGCTTCACGAGTTTGTCCAAGACCATTGTCAGCCATACAAGTATATGTACCAGCATCTTGAGGGGTTACTTTTTGTATAACATGAGTAAATGAGGTGGCTATAAAACGATCATCACGCATCCATCTAACATTATTAACTCGAGGTTTGGCGTCTACATTACATTGCAGTGTAATAGAATCGTCTCTTTCGACACGGAGAGGGTTTTCGGGGCCTATTTGTACACGTGGATAATCTGTAAAAGTAAATATAACTCAGTAAAACTCCATAAACTTGAAAACTTAAACGCAAGGAAGTACAAAATGTAAAAATAAAATGTTATCACAAAGTATGTGTTTATAATGTACATTGAAAAATGTAAGTATATTTATTTTGGTACAATATACGGTTGGGTTTAGTACACCAATTAGGATTGCACCAGAACTGCTAATGCGCTAGCAGCAATAAGCGGATATATGGTTTATTCTGTTTAGTACAGACGGTGTATAAATCTCTAGGGTTTCCTCTTTTAAAAAGGATTCGTGATACTTTGTCACGATAGTTTATAAACAGCCGTCTATCAATCTGTATAATTGCTATATGTCCTATGAAGCTGAGTCATTGAAATCGATATACAAATCTATTCTCAGCGATAAATAAAGCTATGAGTTTAACATTTTACTTAAACATTTCAATTTCAATTATTTTTAGTAACTATAAAACATAATGCATTAATTGTACTTACAATTTACGCTTAAAGTGGTTCGCGTTTCCAATTTTATACCTTCTGCCATAGCTCTATTCCATACCACGCACCTGAAAACTGCACCGTCATCTTCGCGACTAGGTGTCACCTGAATCACTGCAGACGTCACAGTTTCCTTATTGCTATTGCCAATTCGAGTAACCGATTCAATTGGGTCTTGAACACCTTCTCGGTACCATCTAATGACGGGGTCGGGACTACCGCCCGTACTGGTACAGGACAGTTCTAGTGGACGTCCTTCGGTAGCTACTGGATTAGGTCCAGGCGAAATACGTGGAGGACTAGGAGGTGTAAGTACTGTAATTTGAAAACTTTGGGAATGGATTTCACGGCCTGTACCAGCTGCTTTCAGTCTACATTCAAATTTTCCGTTATCCCTTTCATAAGTTGAATTTGAAATTAACAGATCATAAATTCCCAATTCTGGACGGAAATCAAGCCTGAAAAGATAATTAATTGTTTTTACTTAGTTTGCAAAAAAATATAAAGAATTTAACGTATAAAAATAACCAAGAAAAAAAATCATGTAAACATTTTATACATTGTAAGAGCCGCCTACGAAACAAACAAAAAAATAAAGTCAGAAATTAATTTTTATTTATAAAAACATTATTTCATTATTTATTAATTCATTAGAATTGTAAATGAAATAATGTAATAAATTACTAATAAAATACTGTAAATTTAAGACGGACGTACAAAAATATAATCGCAAAACATAATTCAAGAACCTAATTATAAATAAAAAAATTTGCTGGGTCGTTTGTTTGATGGTTCATATAAACATTTTGCAAGAACTGTATCAAAGACACTTACTTATAGTTGCCCTCTAATGGTGTGGCTTTAATAGCTACGTTATCTTGGTTATGTTTATTTGTCCTCAACCAATAATATTGAGTATCTTGTACTGTAGACGGCAGCTGTCCGTTAAATCGACACTTTAACGCAATGTCTTCACCTTCTCTCGTGTCTGTCATTCCTTCCTGGCCTAAACATGACCATCCTGAAAAAACAATATCGTTAGTTTCACTCGTTGTTTTATGAGAACTCCGCATGAAAATGTTTACAAGTTAAATATCATTTGTAATTCTACAACACAATGTAAAGTAATTACAAAACGTCATTAGTTAACCACCCGGGATCCTCCACTGGGTTAAAATGGGTTGGTTAAAGAAAGTCCAACAATGCATTTGCATGAAAGTGTAGTTCTTAAATTATTCAACCACTTAAAACTACGGGGGGCGCTACTCCGCCTACATACAGCCAGAAATCTTCGGATCTTTATTTTCTAACAGTAAGCACATTAAATGGTAATCAAGAAAAGTTACTATTGTTTTCATGATCAACATGTGCGCACAATTGAAGTTTGACAAGTTTTACTGTAACCAATAAATCTAATGTTTAACAGATGGTGTCAGTTCAATAGCTAACAATGAAAAATAATCAAGATCAATCCCAATGAACAGTTTTATGACATAAAATTCAGAAATAAAAAACCTCCGAGTAATCCACAATTATTAGTGTTGTCGTTTTTTTTCTTAAAAAACTATTTATAAATACGCAGTAAAGAAAAACGATAAAATCAATGAATTGAACCATATTGGAAAATGTATTTTTAAATTACGCTTATAATTTAAACTCGGATGACATTTTGTTGACCATCTTAGGACATTTTCAAGTAATACACTTTGTAACCACTGTACGCATTCGTCCAAGCGAATGTTGCCTAGCAGTCAACAATAGACGTACACATTTTACCATACCTAACGACTGCGAAGACAATACACATCACTATGCTCTTGCATGTGTATACGTTATTTTCCGAGTGTTCGAGAATATATAGTCGATTTTTAAGCTCATTGTTATTCATAATAACGAAGGTAACCAAATCAGATACGGTGGGTCAAAACCGCCGCTGTTGTACAACGTGTGAATGTGTCTATGATGGAATCGTTTTTCCTCTAACGCTGTTTGACTATTCACAGGACCGGCACTGAGAGCCATTACAAATTCGTCATCACGAATGCACAAGGTGACGGCGACACATTCTTCTCATTCGCAGCATCGTCCGTCGTTTTAAGTGAAGTACTGAGCGACAACGGATATGTGTACCAAGAGACTAAGTATTTTACATAAAAGGGTTACCGCGGTTACATTGTGGCGGAGAGGAACGATGTCATGCGGTTGCCCGTACTGAGTGTGAACATTACACTATGGCCGTTGAAATGAAATATTATGGTTTGTTAGGGTTATACGCGAAGGGGTGTTAGGGGAAGTACAAGACCACTCGGCATTTCTTTGTAACGATCATACACTATATGTTTTGTAGTATTTGTTTTCGATCCGACATAGTCCGGGAGAGAAATCATTGGGGTCTCCTTATCGTACACACACATTTGCCGTAGTACGCGTAGTTCAGTGCACCGAATATTTATCGGCTGAATCGTGTTAGAATAAAAAAAAAAACATGAACATTAAACGATTTGATTTAAATTAAAAACGCACATACATAACGATTTATTTTTAATCGTTTTAGGACTATCAAAAACGAATACCAATTAATATTTTAGTCGATATGTTGGGGTGGTAACGACGACCTTTTGTGTCGATAGCCCGCAATTTATTATACACTGGAGAGATAAAAGCGAACTACATCTAAGTACTATTACCTAGATTTGATTTTTGATTAGACCTGCATCCTCTTCTTTATATAAAAACCGATTTCCAAGGTCATCATGATTAATCAGTGCCGATGGCCTGAGGGTCAGCCTAACGGCGAGGAGATACAAGAGGTGGGCAGGTGCGACGCAACATCTGCCCGAGCAGTTATAACGGCGGCCAGTAGGTTTCACGCCCTTCGCCCTCAAGGCGGCAGCGGCTCTATCGATAACGATGTATCCCGGCACCTGTTGCCTAGACTCATCACAACATGGCATTGTTCTTTTATTTCATTTTTTAACAACCCTTATTCTAGCGGCATAATGAAATGACTTCAACGAAGTAGTGTACTGAGTACACGCCTTCTCTACTCCAGTCAGGCGGTAGGTAGGTGTATAATTTTTGTTATGAATTCGAACCAAATCAAATGCTAAGAACCAACTTAATTGTGTAATAACAGCAGTTGAAGTTTGTCGAAACGTTATTTTATCAACAGAAAATGATTAAAACGACTAAATATTATACTCTACTATGGTCGACTATACACACCTATTTTATTTTTCTTAGCCACATAACGTTTGAATAACATAATGTACGCGGCAGTAGGGTAAAGGTACTGGTTAATGTGTATTTGTAATTAATTTTCCACTAAATTAAAAACAAATAATATCGTTATTACCAGATATTGAATGTATTTAAGAATAACGTACATAAAAAAAATACCATAGAAGTATAAATAATAGTTAAAATTATTATTCATTTTACTAATTAAGTGAAGTATTTGTATCAAATCTTAAAATTCATAATAATGAAAATTATGTAGTTTTCCAACAGTCTATATAATGAATTTGTATAATATAGTGAAATATTTAAACACTACTGCAATCAACACTTAACCATTAGTATTCATGTAAAACTCGACCTTTGCAATACCCTCATTATTATGTTTTATTTATATTTGTTTTTCAAAATGAATCGAGATTAGGTCTTTGTTCAGGTCCCTATCGGAGTCATAGAAGAATCTTATTATTGTGTCTAAGGGTTGGTCGGTGGATATTTATGACGAGAAATGTGAGTACAAAAGAAAATTAATTACTTAAAACAACCCTTCAACTCTTGCGAAGGGTAAAAAAGAATTTTTAAAGTCATTCCACGCTTAGTAATTACAAATAATTTATTGAACGACTAGCAAACCCCAGAAGAATGCTTTGTCGTTGTAAAACAAAACCATATGGGGTATAGGCTGATATTGTGTGTTATGTTTGTTCACTTGGCAGATGTGTTTGAATTTGCGTATACACATTTTTGATGGGTCATTCACAAAAAACGACATTTGATATTATAGTCAAGTAATAATGATATTTTAGATGGTTTAGTATATTTATAAGAATAACTTAACTGATGCGATAATACAGTTTTTAATAAAAACAAAAATTAAATTATCAATTTGAAATTAAAAATATACGAAAATATATTAAAACATAGTTTAAAAATATATTATGATAATGTGTGGAGATTGATGATGAATCACAATTTCAAAGAACCCAATCGCTCATCAATCAAACATTGTTCAAGGGAAAACAAAACACGTTATTTTCACCCCTCGTGTACATAAAGGCAGTGAAAATAAAATTAAAAATAAAATGCAACTATTAAATAGCTACTGGCAAACAATAATAATTAACGACGACGATTATCATGATGAGTATGATGGTTGTGACGATATACGTTATCTTTTCACGTTTTATTAACATCTGCTTTAACCGACGGCCTTCAATTTTTATGGTCTGTTGGTCACATAGTCTGAATTAGGCGATATAGTTTCATCATAGATGAATATCGCCTAGAGTTCAAATATTTTAGAATAATAAATTGTTATTGTAAGGTTACGGCAGCCGCCTTCAAGGAAGCGTCAAATACATATTTAAACAGCAAGAGTAATTAATCGTCTCATACAAAATACTACTTTAAAAAACTATAGATTTTTTATTTTTTATTCTGTATTAGACACGAAAGTAAAAATACAACTTTTTACTAAGTGACTCCTGAAGACGACGTAAAACTTTTCTACATACATTTATAATAGCGGTGAAAAATAATGTTGTCATTACCAAGCGTAAAAAGTAAATTTTCTGATAAATTATTTACACAGTAATATCGACACAACGCAATACATACAACCAAATGGCGAATGTACCAACGCGAGACATTTGATGGAGTCGCAAGACGGGAAAATATATAAACACTTAATGCACATTGATTCTTTTTCTTTTTGGAGTGTGTTTAGAGAAGATAAGAAATAGATATTGTTTATTAGTTTAGTGCATAGAGTTTTTTTTTTAAATTGTTGATAAAAGTTGGATTTTCAATAAATGAATTTGAACTTTTCAGCGAGATACTATTGATTTTGCATTGAATGAACATTTGGTAGATAGAACTTACTTTTTGTGGTAAAACTACGTTTACTAGTAGAAACTAAAATGATTTGACTAAAAAAATGTCGGTAAAATATTTATAAGATTAAATTTAGCAACAATTCTTGTTCAATAGCATCAGTAATATATTCTTTATTACATACCGTTTGGGGTTTATTGGGAAAGTCGGGGAAATATGATCAGCTAGTTCGATAAGAATTTGTCAGTTACGATCCATGAATCCAAATGATACCTTTACCGCCAACTATCTATCTATATGCTTTGTCTTGATGAAAAACAAAGTTGAGCATCACTTCGGTCAATTTATTTTGTATCTACCACACATACGAGCCGAGAATAAAATATTATTGTATATAAACTTGGGGTAGCGAGTGCTATTTTCCCCGGGAAGTTTACGGTTTATCTTTATTTCTTTCCTGTCATATTTTCTTTTTACGTGGAATTCACGCATCCGTTAGGTCGACGTGATGACTCTACGGTAACGAATTACTGAGCTCCAGCCTTGCACTTTATTATAATTTTTAGGCTTAAAACATAATTGACAAAAGAAAATACAAGAAGGGTTTCAAGGTTTAAAATGACCCATAATACTATGACCGCCATAAATAACGAGCGTAAACTTTTCTGACCGCCTTCTATAGGTTTTAATCAAAACTAATAATTTATGCACTGCATCCACAAATTGTAGTGTAGGCGGTTTCGGAAAGTTGTTATTAATCAAACGTCCGCTAAAATCCCATTCGACGAACGATGTCATCAGACGTTTTTTTTTTCAAAATAATCACCTGTCAATATGCAGTACACAGCACCATTATTTTAACGTCAAAGTACATTAATAATTTGTTAACTATCGTTTACGAGGGAAATTAACACAAACACAATTATGATATCGAATCAGCTAGGCGTTAAT